AGACGCGGCTCTGACCTGCAGTGTGGCCAAGGGCGACACGCCCATGACCATAGAGTGGACCTTCGAGGGCCGGCCGGTCAGCAGTGAAATGGGCGTGCTGGTGCTCCACGCCGGCTCCCGGATTAGTGTCCTGACCATTGAATCTGTGGGAGCTAATCACAGCGGAAAGTATAGCTGCATTGCTTCTAACGCGGTGGGCAAGGCGTCGCACACGGCAGCTATCACAGTGAAAGGTCAGTGACCTGACATTCAGATCACTGTAGGGTGCAAATGGAATCCGCTTACCTCTCCTTACTCTCTGCTTCCCTGGTGAATATTCCTAGCTGAAATATCCTGTCTACCACGATCACTTTATTTCATTATTTTTGTTCGTTATATGTACAACTATCGAATCTGATTTGCATGGTTCATCAGAGGCGCCGGAGATTGTTCCCTTCAGTATGGACGCGCCGCTGAGTACGGGAAGAGACGCGGCTCTGACCTGCAGTGTGGCCAAGGGCGACACGCCCATGACCATAGAGTGGACCTTCGAGGGCCGGCCGGTGGCGGAGCTGCAGAAAGTCCGCGTTATTTCGGGTGGCTCCCGTACCAGCCTCCTGACCGTCTCGTCTGTTGACGGAAGTCACAGCGGACTGTACACGTGCACACTGCACGGCTACGAACGCGGTGGGCACGGCGGTCCACTCGGCGCGGCTCACCGTCAAGGGTCAGTGGCGCGTGGTTCTGCCGTCACACCTGCATAGCATGATCGTTTGAGACGTGGATTAAGCCAAACGACACCTAGAGGTGCCGATATAGTGTCCCTTAGTACACGCGAGGTATCCGATCCATGTGTTCTTCACAGTTCTTAATGTTCTTTTCAGTTACGATTTAGATACTTTCTGGGCTTCTCTATTCGGTAAGTGCGTCTGTCGGCTTAAAGTTGATTGGTGCGTGAGGCTCGGCCTGCTCGTCTGGCTCCTCCAAGGCTGACCCAGGGTTCTGCACCAGCATCACCTTCTCTTCACTGACTAACCCAGCTGTATAAATATGGTTTAAAAGATAAACACGATTTGGTGAAACCCAGTTAGGTCTCACCCATCGAAAATCCTACTCCTTGGGCCTGCGGCGAGCTCCGGTCCCCGGTCCTCCAGAGGTGTGTGCGGCGCTACTGAGCGGCCTCCCTGTGCTCGCCAGTTCCGCCGGAGATATTTCCCTTCCCGGCGCTGGATGCACTCATGGACGGTGATGACGCAAGCCTCACGTGTTACGCGTACAAGGGCGACACGCCGATGACCATCTCATGGACGTTCCACGGCCGCGATGTCTCCATGGAGAGGCAGTTCACCACGCAGGCGGTGGGCACGCGCACCAAGATGCTAGTGATTCCGGCCGTGTCACACGGCCACTCCGGCACCTACACGTGCATCGCCAAAAACGCAGCAGGACGCGCGGAATATTCCACACAGCTGGTTGTCAAGGGTCAGTGTGGTGGTTGTCTTAGATGTAGATATTAGGTACCCTCGATCCGAATCTGTTCTATCCTTTCCAGTCAACCATGTCCATGTTGCCTCTCTGGCTCTATTATTACACGTATTTGTTCTTTGTTTCGAAAGCAATCGTAACAGGATCACCCCAGCTGAGTTTTTCACCATTTTGCTAGCCTGGGATCGTCTACCTGTCATTTCAGTGCCGCCAGAGATTTTCCCGTTTCCGACGCTCGATGCACTGAGAGACGGCGACGACGCAACTCTGCAGTGCTACGTGTTCAAGGGCGACACGCCCATGACGATCACGTGGACTTTCCACGGCAGAGACGTGTCGATGGAGCGTCAGTTTACCACGCTGTCGGCCGGAGACCGGACGAGCATTCTGCTGGTCAAGGCCGTGTCACATGGCCACTCGGGCACCTACACGTGCAGGGCCAAAAACGCGGCCGGAGTGACGCAGCTCTCGACCGCTCTGGTAGTGAAGGGTCAGTTCTTACGGCTGTGGAAATGCGCGTCTGTGACAAAACGTCCTCCTTTCTCCTCCTGCTGTTCCGCACCACCTGTTTCCGCCTCCTAGCTATTAAAATTCTGGTCGACATTTCTTCTTTCCATGTTTGTACATGCTTACCTACAGACAATTAAAGAAGTATCATGGTTAGATTATTTTCTGGAAACGATTATGGAGTACGGAGGCCAGCTTATAGGATTCCCTAAGCATTCATATTCAGCCAATCATCGGATGACAATTCTCCTTTCTGTCCTGGTTGGGCGGCGCGTTGCCGGTGGAGCTTCGCTTATCCATGACATAGTGACCATTCAACCCGAATTAATGACACCAGTTAAATCGAATTAATGACGCTGTCCTGGTATGCAAAACCTGGCAGCCTCCTCATGTATGGTAACCTGGCAGCACATCTGGACCGTGTTTCTGTGCGTGACGAAGCCCTGCTGTTCCCGTCGACCAACCCGACTACCGCAGGGTGGGAGAGTCCCTCGTGTCGTCGAGGGCTTCGCCCCCTGTCAAGCCTCTACACATCATAGGACAGTCAGCTGCTTTTGGATAGCATGGGTAGTTCAAGGCGCTAACGTTCCTCGTTCCCAATCACCGTGGCTGTGAATCGGTCTAGCTGTTTGACATACCGGGGTTACATAAGCAAGTAAATGCGTATCAGGAACGGATTTTCCTATTCGCTCACCATTGTAGTCCGTTTGTAATGCGTATTAACTCTGCTCATGTAACCCCGAGCACTGTCGCTGCGCTGAATCCCTTTCAGTTCCTCCGGAAATTCTGCCGATCCCAGCTCCGGGGGCCCTGCGCACGGGAGACGAGGTGTCCCTCAACTGTAACGCGTACAAGGGCGACACCCCGATGACCATCTCGTGGACGTTCCACGGCCGCGACGTCTCCATGGAGAGGGAGTTTGCCACGCAGGCGTTTGGTTCGCGCACCAAGATGCTGCTAATCCCCTCGGTGGCACACGGCCACTCGGGGACGTACACATGCACGGCGAGGAACGCAGCAGGGCAGACGGCCGTTTCCACGGAACTGGTGGTCAAGGGTCAGTCTTGTGGTAACTGGTGGTGAGGGTTCCTGGTCCTTCCGTTGTTTTCAATCCTACCTGCATTTTCCCCTCAAAGTGCCTTAAGTTGAACTTGCTGGTTATTTGCTAGTCAATGAGATTTCGTCAGATTGAATGATGCAGTGACGTCGACAGGATTTCAATAGCTAAGCTTCTAAGCTTCCATAGCTAAGTTTGTTTAACATAAGCTGAATTTTGAAAATCTCATCGCATCACTATGCACCGCCACTACGCCCATTGCCTATCTTATTAAGACATGGCTTTCATTTGCCTGTAAAATCTGGGAGGATTTGGCTAGCTTGTGGAAGAAGATGCTCCGGGTTCTGTCCCGCTTCTTATATTGAGTGAGGCGGCATATCATTATCCTGGTCCTAACCGCACAAGGCTCCAGCAGGCTTGCATACACTGCGGTCGTTCGAAGGCAGTGCTGTGCCCGTCGCTGCAGGCGTGACGACGTCTCCTCAGACTGGCGGTGCACGTTCCAGAGCCGCCGCAGATCTTCCCGTTCCCGACGCCGGACGCCCTGCGCGCCGGGGACGAGGTGTATCTGCCGTGTAATGCCTACAAGGGCGACACGCCCATGACGGTCCGGTGGACTTTTCACGGGAGCGACGTGTCCATGGACCGCGAGCTGGCTACGCAGGCGATCGGGGACCGCACCAACATCCTGCTCATCAGGTCCGTCCAGCACGGCCACTCGGGAACGTACACCTGCACGGCGCGCAACGCGGCGGGACGCGCCACCTACGCCACCGAGCTGGTGGTCAAGGGTCAGTGGCTACATACACCTCTCCTCGGCAGTCCTCAATGGTCCTTCCGCATTCCGCATCCCTTCTCCGCTTATCGCCTTCCTCGCACTGCCATCAGTCTCTGACGAACACTGGTGGCGGCACCAACGAAAGTGTCGAAGAGCAGCCTCAGTTCTGGATCTAGTTAATATCTTAAACTGCTTTGTTCGCCAGTTCCACCGGAGATATTTCCGTTCCCGGCTCTGGATGCGCTCAGTGACGGTGATGACGCCAGTCTCCAGTGTTACGTCTACAAAGGCGACACGCCGATGACCATCTCGTGGACGTTCCACGGCCGCGACGTCTCCATGGAGAGGGAGTTCACCACGCAGGCGTTTGGCGATCGAACCAGCATGCTTCTGGTCAAGTCTGTGTCTCATGGCCATTCGGGGACGTACACGTGCCGAGCTCGGAACGCCGCCGGCGCTACACAGCTGTCCACTTCGCTGGTTGTCAGGGGTCAGTTGTGCTCCGGGCTGGGCGGCATGCCAACATGTTCACGCGTTAACTGATGCCTCAGTATTCCTTGCTCCTCTTTCCGCTTTTCATGTATCTTGAGTGACTGGCTTCCTTTTATCTGGACAAGTGCGTCACATATTCTGGCGTCCTTTCCTTCAGTCATGGGCCTCCGTTTTCTTCTTTTTATCTTGGTTGTAGACCTGACATGGTTCTGGGCATCTTTTCAGTCCCTCCACAAATCCTGCCGGTACCCACGGCTGAAGAGCTGAGCGCAGGCGACGATGTTTCCCTGAACTGCAACGTTTACAAGGGCGACACACCGCTGACGATCATGTGGACCTTCCACGGAAAGCAGCTTCCCATGGACCGAGAGTTTGTCACGCTTCCCGCTGGCGACCGCACCAGTATCCTGCTCATCAAGGGGGTGTCTCACGGCCACTCAGGAACATACACATGTTTGGCCAAGAACGCCGCCGGGGAGACTCGCTACTCGACGAAGCTGGTCGTTAAGGGTCAGTGCGGTCTTCCACTTCTCCTGTCCCAGAAACCCCGCTGAGGAGATTCGATGGCCGTCATGGCCCGAAGTAATTCAGCGTCTTATATCCTTTTGTCTCCAAGTTCACCTCCTTCATTTTGATGAAATATACTCGTATTTCCGTTGAATGCTTCACCAGATATTTATTTGTTGATTTGATGCGTTTCAGTGCCGCCAGAGATATTGCCGTTTCCTGTGTCGGACGCGCTGAGCGCGGGGGACGAGGTGTTCCTGCCGTGTAACGTCCACAAGGGCGACAGGCCGCTGTCGATCCGCTGGACGTTCCACGGCGGCGAGTCGGCGGTGCTGGAGCGCCAGTTCAGCACGCTGCCGGCCGGCGCCAGGACCAACATCCTCATGATCCCGTCCGTGCAGCACGCCCACTCGGGCCGGTACACGTGCAGAGCGAGCAACGCGGCCGGGGAGACGTCCTACTCCACCCGGCTGGTGGTCAAGGGTCAGTCCACGACACTGGAGATCGCCAGAGAACCCACTCCTCGCCCCGATATCCTTTCCATGTCCCGTGGCCTCGCCTCGCTTCAGTTACATCCATCAGGGTAGGCGTTTCAACTATATGGGGCTGGTGAAATCCCACAAGAAGAAAATTTGTCTTCAGAAACGTGGTTAAATGATTTGGTTATACCACTTGACTTTAGTACTGTATCTTCTTCCAGTGCCTCCGGAGATTTTTCCGTTTCCGTCTCCGGAGGCGCTGAGCGCTGGTGACGAGGTCTCTCTCAACTGCAACGCCTACAAGGGCGACACCCCGATGACCATCTCGTGGACCTTCCACGGACGCGATGTCTCCATGGTTCGGAAGTTCAACACCCTGTCCATCGGACAAAGAACCAACATTCTCACAATTGAATCGGTGCAGCATGGCCACTCCGGCACGTACACTTGTATTGCAAGAAACGCCGCCGGCAAGACAACTTACTCGGCCTCCTTAGTAGTCAAGGGTCAGTTAAGTCTCTCTTTATGCGTTCTGGGTTTTAATTATCAGTGCATTTTACCGGTTCGGTTTCTTTTTCTCCTTCCAGTCTTTCCTGAATTTTCTCAAATCCTGCATCTCTCCCCACGTTTCGTTTCGGTTTGATTGGCTTTCTTCGAGTTGCAAAGTAATTTATGTACAATGGTTTTCAGTGCCACCCGAGCTGGCCGTTTACGGAGTCGAGGACGCCCTGAACGCCGGGGACGACGTCTCGCTGACTTGTAACGTGTACAAGGGCGACACGCCGGTGTCCATTCAGTGGACGTTCCACGGCCGGCAGCTGCTCATGGAGCGGCAGTTCACCACACTTGCTGCTGGCGATCGCACCAGCATCCTGTTGATCAAAGGGGTGTCCCACGGGCACTCGGGCACCTACACCTGCCTGGCCAAGAACACGGCGGGGAAGACATCAGTCGCCATCCCTCTAGTTGTCAAGGGTTAGTTTGCAGCCGTTCGATTGTCGGGTTTGGCTTCTGGCTGTCCTATGTATTGCTTCCCACTGATAATAACCTCTATTTCCTCTCGCTTGCCTCTTCGTTTGATTTGTTTGCTCGAAAACCTAAGTTTGAAGTGTCAGTGGTATCACATCGACTTTCGGTTCCTCATGAAGTTAGTGGCGTGGAATACCAGTTACCACGTCAGGGCTTGTGGCTCATTTGCAGTAGGTACTGAGCCGCTGGTGTCTGACAGGCGACAGTAGGTATTTCTCAGCGCTGGCATGCACGGTTCGGTCGGAACAAGTTTGTCCTGAGCGGGCGGTCCGCCAGGCTCGGTGCATGGATCGGCTGCTGGCTGCCAGATTATGCAGCTACTCTCTAAGTCTGGACATAGGAACAGTTTCAGGTCGGAAGTGGTGCTCTTTGGTCAGATAATGATTGTATCTCTGACTTCTCTCTTATATTTCCTCACAGTTCGTAAAACAGTTTTTTTAGGTCTTGAAGATTGTCTCTGATGTGAATCATTTAGAAAGATAAGTCTAGTCCGAACCTTTTGATAGGAATGATTCACAAGGACAGAGCCACCGCTAAGCGAAGCTTGTTGCGGTGACCCTGCCCTCTACCCTCCGATCGCGCAATTCCAGTTCTATGGCAGAATTTAGAGTCCAAAGTTGTAACGTGCGCATCTAGGCGCGCACGGCCGGTCCCCATACTCACTTCGCCTGGCTACGGCCATAGGCGGCGGAACGGGGAGGGCACCGGGACACCGTGCCTTCCTTTGATTTTGGCATTTTAACATCAGCCCAATGGGCGTTGCATGAAAAGAATGGGACCAAAAGTCGGCAGTGCCCCCCCCCCTTAATTGAATGTGTTCCGCCGCTACTGGCTATGGCCTGCCACCAACCGCAACCATACCTGTCAGGAGGCCCATAAATGCCAAGCGCCCGTCGCGCTTCGAACCCGGACTGTTATGACCGGGAAGGCGTGCTCTAACCACGCGAAGTCCAACACTCTACCAACTGAGCTACGGGACCGGCTCATCTTCAAACATCGTTGAAGATAACACGCGGATGTATTTTAATTGTACCGTTTCTTGTTATTTAAGAAGTTAAGCCATTCTTGGGCATTTTGTGCCATTTGAAATTAGGGTTCCTGCGCTTGGAACTTATTCTGCAGGTTCTTCCACTTATTAATAGATTAGCTGGATGGTAGATCTCGATATACGTGACCGGCGACGTAGTTGTAGTTCCACTAAAAACTACGAATTGTTTGAATAATCCTCGCTAGTTTCTTGTTGACATGGTTTACGGGAGACCAAGAACTGCAAAACATTCATACGGTTCTTTATTTTACCACAATGGTGTCACTTGTGCAATCTTTTTTCGTTTCCAGTCCCACCGGAACTGAGCGTGTATGGGATCGAGGATGACCTAAACGCCGGCGACGATGTCTCGCTGACTTGTAACGTTTACAAGGGCGACACACCGCTGTCCATCTCGTGGACGTTCCACGGCAAGCAGCTGCCCATGGACCGGCAGTTCGTCACGCAGACATTTGGTGCCCGGACCCGGATCCTGCTGATCCGGGGAGTCGCCCACGGACACTCGGGGACGTACACCTGTCTGGCCAAAAACGCCGCCGGCGAGGCGTCCATTGCCGTGCCGCTGGTCGTCAAGGGTCAGTGGCAGCGCCCAGTTTTCTTGTGATCAGATTCTTCTTTGGTTTAGTGTCCTTTAACTGATCACTGGATCCTACTGGACATCCTTGACGATATATTTCAGACCTCATCCACAGCCTTCCAAGCCTCCGGTACCAGCCAGCCGCGTTATTCTACTTCTCTCAGCGACCAGCGTGCCATGTATTGTTAGGAGCCGTCTAACTGGTCCGGTCTCCCACACCATCCATTGCAGTTCCACCCGAGCTGGCCGTGTACGGAGCCGAGGAAGCCCTGAACGCCGGCGACGACGTCTCCCTGTCATGTAACGCGTTCAAGGGCGACACGCCGCTCTCCATATCGTGGACGTTCCACGGCAAGCAGCTGGCGATGGACCGGCAGCTCAGCACGCAGCCGGTGGGCCCACGCTCCAGCTACCTGCTGATCCGGGACGTGTCGCACGGCCACTCGGGCACCTACACGTGCCGGGCGCGCAACGCCGCCGGAGAGGCCGCCGTGGCCACCGCACTCGTGGTCAGGGGTCAGTGCGCCCGTCCGCCGGAGACCTCCGCTCTAAACCTCTTCCAGATCCCTGTAAAGGTGTCCTCAACGCTTTGTTTTAACTCTTTATTCCACTGGCTAACGCATCTTTCCCATCATTCGTTGGTTTTCAGTGCCACCCGAGCTGGCCGTATACGGAGTCGAGGACGCTCTGAACGCCGGCGACGACGTCTCGCTGACTTGTAACGTGTACAAGGGCGACACGCCGCTGTCCATTCAGTGGACGTTCCACGGCCGGCAGCTGCCCATGGAGCGCGGCTTCGTCACGCAGTCGGTGGGCCGGCGCACGAGCATCCTGCTGATCCGGGACGTGTCGCACGGACACTCGGGCACCTACACCTGCCGGGCCAGAAACGCCGCCGGAGAGGCCACCGTCGCAACCACGCTCGTTGTTAAGGGTTAGCTAGGGGTCGTGCTTTAGTGTCTAACGGATTTGTGTCAGGCTCCTGGTCTTTCCGGTGTCCCTCTCCAATGCCAATCTGTCTCGGATCTGCCCTGTTTCACCTTTTGTCGGAACTCAGTCGATGTAGCTGCCTTCCTCTGGTGGTCGGGCGTCTCCGGTCAACCGATGACCCGAATTTATCTCTCAGTCTCAGCTCTACAGCCCATGCTGGTTTGAGTAACAACTTGTCCTCTCCGGCAAGGTTGTGGCTGAAATCAGTAGTGTCCTCTTCATATGGGTTTTTGAACAGATTTAACTGATCTTTGATTAATAATTGGCCTGTGTTGCCCACCGGCTTGATTCTGTCAAATATTTTGTGCTCTTATATTAATTTAGTTGTTTTGTCTACTTTTTCCTATCCGATGCATCAACTTTTGGTTTATGTAATATTCCTGTTAGTTGGTTCTACCTTGCAAAGGGCGAAGAGATCCTATGTATCGAAAGATGCTAAGCATTCATTCCGTTAGGTGTGGGTGGTTTAGGCTAACATCATCTATATCATTTGCTACGCCTCTATTCCATGCCTTGACTCTGAGTGAACAAAGTTAGGGGTCGTCTCGTCGCAGAAGCCTATGGGTTTCTCCACTTCTTTTAGTGATCAGAGATGCACTGTACTTTGGTTTGGAGGACCTTCTTGGCGTACATGGTGATGACGATCAGAATGACGCCAGGCCTGCCGTGCTCAGACGATGGACGCCAGCCATTGCGGAGTTCCGTCTCAGTGACGACTGTCCCCATCACACCGGGGTGCCGGGTTCCGGGGTGTCGTCCCGCCGCCACCTGACGCCGGGGCTGAGACCGTGCCCTGGGCTCCACTGCCCGGGCTCAGTGTCGTCCCGCCGCCAGCTGACGCCGGGACTGAGACCGTGCCCTGGTTTCCACTCCTCGGGGTCGTGCGGCTGACGCCGGGACTGAGGCGGTGCCCTGGGTTCCACTGCCCGGGCTCAGTGTCGTACTGCCGCCAGCTGACGTGTCCGTGCCCTGCCGCCGACCTGACCCGTGCTGGAGACGTCGGACGTCACATGTTCTCCCGCTCTGTGGTCGGTGAACCCGAGCCGCGGCTCCTCCTGTGGCGTACGCAGCAGATGTGACGCCGCCCGGGAAGGGCAGACGTCGGCCATATTCATCGGCCCCTGGATCATCACCGTCCGGTGGACAGATAGGGTCGGCCGGTCTCGATAGTTTTCTCAATTTGTAGCTCTCAAGTTCTGGTATCTCTTTTTTTTTAGACATTTCAATCTGCTATTTTACTTCTTTCTTTAATTGCTTAATGACTGGTGATCAAAAGCAATATTATGAATTTGAGTTTGCTTTTGTTGAAGGAGGCACTCCTGTCCCCATCCTGCTCTGTCTCTCGCCCCTCTATCATCCCGTTTCTCTCTCTTCTTGCCCCCTCTACTCACACCGCATGCTGCATGTTGTTCTGTGATGGTGGTCGCCCATCCCTCGTAACGTACTGTAACGTAACGTAATGCATGCCGCACCTCACTCTATGGGACACATTGAGTGTGCGAGGGAAGGCGACCACCGCGCCTCTCCACAACTGCCCAGGACTCTAGTAAACTGACTGGGCCGTGAGATGGCTGCTTTAATTTGTCACGGCGTTTGTGACTGAAAAGGCAGTTGTGGAGGAGGCGTCATCACACGTTTGTGATATTGCAATAGACATATTGTGCTCTACTTAGTTCAAGTATAACGGTTATAACTAAGTTGGGCCCTAGCTTAATTTTTGATACCTTCATTATCATTCTTGTTTAAGTTAACGTAGATGATGAGCTCTACGCTTGTGCGAAAGTTCTGTAGTCAATTATTTTTATTCATAATTGAACTCAAATTATCTTTTAAAGAAATCGTGCCGTAAGCCATTGCTGTTTGCACTGTGATAACCAGGACCAGTTCCAAGCTCGTGCCGTCTATTTGATTACGGCGTTATATCTGTTCACAATAAATCACTGGACGACAGCCGGTGTGCCCGGTTGGGGTGATTGGAGTTGGTCCTGGTGCGCCGTGTAGCGCTCCGCCGGGCGGCTGTGGAGGTCCGCCCGCCGCCGCCGCCCCCGCTGACCCCCGCCCGGCGGCCCGCAGTGCCGCCCCGCTGGATCATCGAGCCCACCGACAAGGAGTTCGCGCTGAGCAGCACCGCCGAGATCCAGTGCAAGGCCGACGGCTTCCCCAAGCCGCGCATGGCCTGGAAAAAGGCCGCAGGTAAGCACCGAGACACACCGAGCGACGGAGCGGTGCTGGGCAGCGGCGGCGGAATACAGCAGTCGTGTTTAACGGGCCAACAGTGCTGCAACAAGGGGTCTGTCAGAAGGGTCCTGTGTTAACCCGCGCCCCGCTGACTGACTGCTTGCTTTGTGCTTTGCCATGAATATGCGAATTTTAGTTCACATCAGAGCCAGTGGAATGTTGAGTGTTAATCTGACTGTCTTGGATAGTGCCGTGGACTCTGAGTCTCTTAACTGCCGTGTCTGGCCCCTGTGAGTCTCTTAACTGCCGTGTCTGGTCCCTGTGAGTCTCTGCCGTCCCTGATCCCTGAGCATCGCCGAATAGCTATGTCTGGTTGGTTCCTGCGAGTCTGCTGACCGCCGTGTCTCGGTGCCTGCGCAGGCTCGCGGCCGGAGGACTATCGGGCGCTGGGCCACTCGGACAGCAGTATTCAGGTGCGCGACGACGGCACACTGGTCATCAACAGCATCCAGAAGCGCGACGAGGGCTACTACCTGTGCGAGGCCGACAACCAGATCGGGCCCACACTCTCCGCCGTCATCTACGTCAACGTACAGGGTAGGCTGAAGATGATGGTGGGCGTGCAGTGATACTGTCAGGGGTAGATAGGGTGGGGTAGTGTCCACTGTCCAGGGTAGGCGGGATATGGTCCAGGGAAGGCGTAGGCGGCGTCCTAGGCATTCAATGACTGAAGAGATGGTCGGTCGGGCGATATGATAAATTGGTCAGGTCTATCCATATTTAGGGCATAGAACACTGCGGTACAAATGTCGGTGCGCTTTAGCTGATAAGGCTGACGTAGATTGGGATTTGACTTGATTCGCTTCGGGTGACAGGTCAGGTGTTTGGCAGTGGGCGAGCTATATGCTTAGTAAACGGACATTCTCTATTGAACTACTCCAGTCCCATCTTCGCCTCTGTGTGCTTGGGGAACTGGGGATGTGCCTGTGACGGGCTCGGCCGCCGGCAGCGCCGCCCCACTTTGAGATCAAGCTGCGGAACCAGACGGCGCGCCTGGGCGACCCGGCCGTGCTGGTGTGCGAGGCGCGCGGCGAGCAGCCCATCACCATCAAATGGAGCCGTAACGGGGCGCCGCTGAGCGCGCGCGAGCCGTCGCCGCGCTACACGATCCGCCAGCAGAAGACGGAGGGTGGCGCCAGCTCCGACCTCAGCCTGCAGGAGACGAGCCGGCGCGACTCGGCCACCTACACCTGTGTGGCCAGCAACCCGTTCGGCCAGGACAACACCACCATCAACCTCATCGTCCAGGGTGAGACTCATTGTACATATTGTATGTATACCCAGGGAGAGACTCTGACTGCGTACCCACGGGGTGGAAATCGTGTAAAGCCCTCTTAGTTACTCAAAGGTGACGAAAGTTAGCTTAACCAACGCGTCTACATTATCTGTGCGTTCTCAGTACCAACTCTAGCTGTTAGACAGTGTGTTGGTCTTGCCGTGCACACGGGCGCCCGTCGCTGACCGTTGTTTTCCCGTCCACAGAGAAGCCCGAGGTGCCGTTCGCCATCAAGGTGCTGAACAAGTCCGGCCGCTCTGTGGAGCTCTCCTGGAGCGCGCCCTACAACGGCAACTCGGACATCTTCCAGTACATCATCCAGTACAAAAAGGCCAAGGGTAGGTGCCGACCTGTGCACGTCTGGGCAAATGCAGGGGGCGTCCCGTGTTGTCGCTAACAGAGCGATCGACCCTTGGCTACAGTATCGTTTGCAAAGGGCCCAGCAAAGATACTCCACTGAATCGTATCCATTGTCTGCTGCCTCCCTCCCTTTTCAGTCGTTCAGTGCGGTTGGCAGTGTGTCAGTGTGTGAGGTCTGTGTGACTGTAGCGTCTGTGTGACGCTCTGTGTGCCGCTGTAACGGTCTTTGTGCCGCTGTGACGCTCTGTGTGACTGTAGCGTCTGTGTGACGGTCTGTGTGACGCCCGCTCGGCAGACGAGTGGGACTCGAAGGAGATGGAGCGCGTGGTGATCCCCGGTAAGATGGAGATCGTGTCCGTCATGGACCTCCGGCCGGCCACAGCCTACCAGATGAGGATCATCGCCGAAAACGAGGTAACAAACCCCGACAGTATCTGTACAATATACATACAGACGACCGACTAACGCCACATGGCGAGTCATGTGAATTAGAAAATAATAACTTAAAGGTAATTATATAGACTGTAACAGAAATGAATTAGCACATAAACGATTCAAAGACATGGCACGCTGCTATAGTACCGTGTACTGCTTTGCAAGATGATCGTGTTGCAGTTGATCGGAGTGTAGTTGGACGGGCTGCGTGACCTGTTCGTGCCCTGTGTGCTGACCCTGTACTGACCCGTGACCCGTGGTGGGCCCGTCCGTGGGTCACTGTGTCCTGACCCTGTACTGACCCGCGCCGCCAGGTGGGCCCGTCGATGGGTCCCTGTGTGCTGACCCCATGCCTCCCCGCTCCCTGCACAGGTGGGCCCGTCGGAGGGGTAACTGCAGTGACCACTGACCAGTGCTGACCCGTGCGACCCCGTGCTGACCCGTGCCTCCCCGCTCCCTGCACAGGTGGGCCCGTCGGAGCCGTCGGAGGTGGTGACGATCGTCACCTCGGAGGAGCCGCCGGCCGGGCCGCCCACGGCCGTGGTGGTGGAGCCGCTGGAGCGCGGCCTGCTTGTCACATGGAAACCGCCCAGCGACGAGCTGCTCAACGGGGAAGTGCTGGTACGTTCAGGAGAGCCGGCCGAACCGCGGCGAGCGTGGCGGACCGATGGGGGATTTGTGCGTCCAACTGTATTACATAATAGACTGAGTGTGACTCATCATATTTTCCTTGTTAGGATTACGCTCGCGGGGCGCTGTTCAGTTAAGCGGCTGGTTCATGTCAACGATTCTGCTGTAAAGTAACAGCACCTTCGGCCCTCCACGACTCTGACTGACCCTCACTGTCTCCGAAGGGCTACTACGTGGGCCACCGCCTGTCCAACAGCAAGAACAGCTTCTCCTTCCAGACCTTCGAGTTCGCCAACGAAGCCACCCGCAAACACCAAGTCAGCATCACCAAACTCGAGTACGTGACAGTGCTGCGCACATCAGTGACGTGACAACGCTATGCACATCAGTGACGGTGCTTTGCGAGTTGTCCCAGCCGTGGTCGCTGGTTCATTTCGCCACGATCTTTTTTCCTCATTAACCATCTAATGGCTTGGATGTGTTAAGATATCAGACATCATCATATAAGACACACGCAGTGTGTATCACGAACCATCAAAATTTTGTATTGCAATATTGGCACAGTTTCGGCACAAGTCCCATCACCCTTTCGTCTAGAGCCTGCCTGTGCCCCTTTAACAGCCCTTACTTGCGTCGAGGATATATTCGGGCCTGTCCGCACTGGTCGCCGTCACAGGTGGTTCCGCTGTCCCCTCACCCGAGCAGTCCCCTCTTTGGGAGGGAGTTCCGCGGGTATGTAACCCGGTCCGTTCTCTGATAGGGAGTTCCGTTGGTATATAACCCGTGCCCCTCTGTGGCAGGGAGTTATGCGGGTAGTATATGACCCGGTCCTGTCTGGTAGCCAGTTCCGCTTCCCCCTTACCTCAGGTGTCCGTCCTTTCCGGCAGGGAGTTCCGCGAGTACGAGGTGGTGGTGCAGGCGTTCAACAGCCAGGGCTCTGGGCCGCAGTCGGAGGAGCAGCGCCAGTTCACGGCCGAGGGCGTGCCGTCGGCGCCGCCGCAGGAGATCACCTGTCGCACGCTGACGTCGGACTCGATCCGTGCCAGCTGGACGCCGCCGCCGGCCGGCGCCACCAACGGCGTCATCCGCGGCTACAAGGTCATGTACGGACCCAGCAGCACCTGGTACGGTGAGTAGAGCGGAGAGGCGGCATGGGCGCCGATCCGGGGTTGCAGGATGTCCTTCAAGATGAATGGTTTTTGGTTGTTGGGGATGCCGGTGTTTGAATAAAATGAAGTGTGTCGTGGATGAAGACGTGGCTGAAATGTCTGAATGAAAGAAGACGTGGCTGAAATGAAATGTCTATATATTTATCGAGGAGTAATGCATGGCTGGGCAATGGCCATCATTTCTTTTTTTGAATGCGAGTCGAATATGGAGGAGTCTGACTTTTTCGAAGTTTTCCCTCGGCTCCAATCGGCGGCCTGGTCCCACCCCCTGCCGTCCCTGCCGCTGGCCGCTGATCGCCCGACCGCTGACCTCTGACCATCTGATCGTCTGACCGTCTGACCGTCTGACCGTCCCCGCTGCAGATGACAGCACGATCGACATGGCCAAGTCGACGAGCACCGAGACTCTGCTGACGGGTCTGAAAAAGTACACCGAGTACAACATCACCGTGCTGGCCTACACGGGCGGCGGCGACGGGCCGCGCAGCCGATCAGCCATCTGCCGCACAGAGGAGGACGGTGGGTGTACAGCGGGTGTACAGGACGTGTACAGGGGAGGGGACGGTGGGTGTACAGGAGATTAGCTGTAGCGCTCTTCCCCAGTGCCAGCCCCACGCCGCGATGTACCCCTTCCACCTGGGGATGCGCATTGCGCATAGTATGTCCCTCGCTGGCCGCCTCGGACCAGTTCCTGGCCGCCCCTGGTCCTCAGTCCCTGACGGCGCCCGTCTCAGTGCCGCTGCCCCTGAACGTGCTCGTATCTGTGCCGCTGCCCCTGACTGTCCGTCTGTCTGCCGTAGTCCCTGACCCCGTCCGTCTCTGTGCGCCGCAGTGCCCGAGGCGCCTGCGGCCATCAAGGCGCTGGCCATGTCGTCGGACAGCATCCTGGTGAGCTGGCGGCAGCCGGAGAACCCCAACGGCATCATCAAACGCTACACCGTCTACTTCATGGAGGAGGGCAGCCGGGAGGTGAGTGCCGGCGCACTGGGCCTCTGGCGGCAGCGTACTCACTGGTGACTGCGTATCTGAGCCTCTGACGGCAGCGTACTCACTGCTGGCAGCGTACCGCAGCCTCTAGCGGCAGCGTACTCACTGGCGGCAGTGTACCTGAGCCTCCTGCGGCAGCGTACCTGAGCCAGCGCACTCACTGGCGGCAGCGTACCTGAGCCCTCATGCGGCAGCGCAGTGCTGGGGCTGCCGGCTGTGGTCCTGTGGCACTGGTCCTGTGGTGGCGATGGGAATGCAGTCTGTTGTAGCACACTGTAGCGTTAAGTTTACGAGGTTCGACCAACCAGTGGCCGCGGCGTACTGCCTCCTGTTCTGAAATGTTGTGACTCGCCCTGACAGTTGACTGAAGAACTTCAACTAACCCAGCACCACTCGTCCACTCCGTCCGAGCCGCCGGCGTGTGACTGTTTGGTGTAGCCGCGCCCGTTCTGTCCGTCCACAGCCGCAGGCGTGTGACTGTTCACTGCGCCCGTTCTATCCGTCTACAGCCGCAGGCGTGTGACTGTTCACTGCGCCCGTTCTATCCGTCCACAGCCGCTCAGACGTGTGACTGTTCACTGCGCCCGTTCTATCTGTCCACAGCCGCAGGCGTGTGACTGTTCACTGCGCCCGTTCTATCCGTCCACAGCCGCAGACGTGTGACTGTTCACTGCGCCCGTTCTATCCGTCAACAGCCGCAGACGTGTGACTGTTCACTGCGCCCGTTCTGTCTGCCCACAGCCACAGGCGTGCAGTGTCTGTTCACTGCGCCCGTTCTGTCTACCCACAGCCGCAGGCGTGTGACTGTTCACTGTGCCCGTTCTGTCTGTCCACAGCCGCAGGCGTGTGACTGTTCTGCGCCCGTTCTGTCTACCCACAGCCGGCAGGCGTGTGACTGTTCACTGCGCCCGTAACCTGCCCACAGCCGGAGGCGTGTGACTGTTTGGTGTAGCCGCGTCCGTTCTATCCGTCTACAGCCGCAGGCGTGTGACTGTTCACTGCGCCCGTTCTATCCGTCCACAGCCGCTCAGGCGTGTGACTGTTGACTGCGCCCGTTCTGTCTGCCCACAGCCGCAGGTGTGTGACTGTTCACTGCGCCCGTTCTTTCCGTCCACAGCCGCAGATGCACCGCGTCACGCCGTTCCAGCAGTCTTACCGGGCCAGCGGCCTGAAAAAGACGCAAAACTACCAGTTCTGGGTGAACGCCGACACCAGCATGGGCGAGGGGCCGCCCTCGAACAAGGTCACCGTCACGCCCCGCAGTCAGGGTGAGTGCTCGATGGGCATCCCGTCCAGCCAGGGTGAGTGCTCGGTGCTCAGTGCTCAGTGTTCAGTGGCCACACCGCGCAGCCAGGATGAGTGCTCAGTGGCCGGCGCGCCACCGGAGCCGCCGCTACGACCGGCTGCCATGCTCCATTGGAACCAAATGGCTGGTCTGGCCTTGAACTGGCGCCGAGTCCTCTCCTCACGCCACTGATGCGCAGAGTCCTCCTGTCCTCCGCCACTGACGCCGTCTCCCCGTCGGCTGTACTGACACCGCCCGCCCCGGCCGGCCGTGTTTCAGTTCCGGCCCGGATCGCCTCGTTCGACGACGAGCTGACGGTGAACTTCCAGCAGGACGCCAAGCTGCCGTGTCTGGCCGTGGGCCTGCCGCAGCCGACCATCGCCTGGCACCGCGACGGAAAGCCCTTCCAGCCCAACGACCGGATGCGCATCATGCCCGAGGTGGGCCCCCCGCCAGCCGGGAGGGCCGGCCCGCGCCACAGTGGTGCTGTGTTGTGAGACTAGGAATCCCACCCCAACCCCAACCCCCGCCAGCCGGGAGGGGGCCGGTGCGCCACAGTGGTGCTGTGTTGTGAGACTGGTAATCCCAACCCCAACCCCAACCCCCGCCAGCCCTGACACCCGCCTGTGCTGTGAGGACGGTAAACGGAACTTGGTGACTGTTCAGAATGCAATAACGGCTAATATTCAGTCAATGCATGAATTTCAAACCGACCTCTGGGCCAGCCATCTCTGTGCCGCCGCGTCTCGGCGCGACTGTGGCTTACTCTTTGAGCAGACTTAGTGTCCTGAGTCCTGATAGACCCGGTGGCTGACCCCGGTGACCCCAGATCGGCACCGACTCGATATTGATGACTCTGACTCCTGCGGCTAGCATCTGACCATTGACCACTAACCTCTGACCTGACTACTGACCGCTGATCTCTGACCGCTGACCTCTGACCAGTGACCCTGACCAGTGACCCTGACCACTGATCTCTGACCACTGATCTCTGATCCTGGCACTGACCTCTGGCCCTGATCTCCGACACTGACTTCTGACCGCTGACTCTGGACACTGACATCTGACCGCTGACCTGACCACTGACCGCTGACCTCGACTGACCACTCACCTCTGACCACTGACAACTGACCATCACTGACCTCTAACCCTGACCAATGACATCTGACCACTGACCCCGACCAATGACTGACCTCTGACCTCTGACCAGTGACCTTGACCAATGGCCTCTGACTGACCTGACTTGAGTTTGACCTCTTACCACTGACTCTGACCTGACACTGACTTTCTGCGTTACAGGGCTCACTGCAGATTCGCGGCGTGCAGCGCGGCGACCGCGGCGAGTACTCGTGTATCGCCAAAAACCAGTTCGGACAGGACACCGTCTCCCACAAGCTGGTTGTCCAGGGTGAGCCGGGTGCCGCCGGCGGCGGGAGGGGGGGTTGAGGCTGAACATGAGTGTTTGAGTGTCTGTTTTGTTTGTAGTGCGTGCTGTTTGGCAATACCCTCTAGTTGGTGCTCCCTGTGCCCGGTGGTGCAGTTTGGCTGACCCCCCCCCCCCCCCCGCCCTGGTCCGCCAGCGCCCCCGTACCCGCCCGAGGTGCTGCTGATCGGATCGTCCAACAACTCGATCGAGGTGCGCCTCAAGCCCGACCCCAACGACTCTGTACCGCTGTTCGGCTTCACGCTGCACTACAAGGCCGCCTTCGGCGAGTGGGAGACTGTCCAGGTGCCCAAAAAGGTGAGAGCTCCACTCGCCAGAGGGCACGGACCGAGAGCCGGACACGGCGCCGGTCCCGGTACAGGGGGGGGGGGGGGAGCAGAATCTGAGAACAGTGGCTGCCCGGCGCCCCAGATCGGTACACTGATCAGGTGAACACGTAAGGCACATTGTTTGACCGATCGGCTGCAAAGAACAGTTATTCCTACTTTTTGCCCTATTTGTCGCTAGCCGTGTTGTGTCGTTTTAACTTGTATCCGGTGCTGATGAGTGTCCTGCCGTGTATTCCAGGCGCGGTCGTTCACCCTGGAGAGCCCCTGGTGCGGTACCAAACACCAGATCTACGCCACCGCCTTCAACGGGTGAGAGAGCGGGCAGGGGCAGCCGGGCGCCCTCCTGGTGCCCTGTTACAGGTCACCGGCAGCGGGTCGAAAACCGTGCGCCGCCCGGGAATCGAACCCGGGTCGCAAGAATGGGAATCTTGCATGATACCACTACACCAGCGGCGCGACGGGTGGGGCCTCAAAATATCGGAGGACAATGGTCACAGTGGATGGCGTGTTCCGTGCAAATTATATCTGCTTTGTTTTCGGCGGTCGATTTAAATACAGGGCTGTTCTATCTTCCCACACTGAACGGGGCCCCGGTGACCGATCTGACCGATGTGTGACGACTGACGACTGCCGCAGAGCGGGTCTGTACAGTAGGTCCCCACTCTACATACATTGACCAGTGTGACTGAGTGACGGCTCCAGCCCCCAGTCACTTGGGACTACAGTGTCTGACGGCTGCCGCAGGGTGGGTCCCGGCGAGCACTGACCGCTGGTGACCGTTGTATGTCTCTGACGGCCGCCCCCACTGACCGGTGTGTGTGTGTGTGTGTGTGACGGCTGCCGCAGAGTGGGTCCCGGCGAGCAGTCGGCCGTACTCACCACTCGCACCAAGGGCCAGGCGCCGACCATGCCGCCGGCCGACCGCTTCCTGCGCATCCAGGCCAAGAGCGTCGAGCTGCACCTCAACACGTGGAAGAACGGCGGCTGCCCGATCCTCTACTTTGTCGTCGAGTACCGCAAACGGTCAGTGCCGGCTCCGGCAGCTCACTAACGCTGCGCCGCGGACCGTCTGCGCCGCTCGCAGTTCTGTTATAAAGCCTGTGCGGGCTCGTCATTACAAGCAGGTATTCCTTGCGTTGACATTCGGCTCCCATCGGTAGAAGCCGATGTGCAATTGCAGCCTACTGTTTTCCTAATGAATAGTTGAGCATAGCATCTGGTTGTCCAAGCACACCGCATCCCACTGTGTCTCGCCGACCCTCATCTCTCTCTCTCTCTCTCTCTCTCTCTCTCTCTCTCTCTCTCTCTCTCTCTCTCTCTCTCTCTCTCTCTCTCTCTCTCTCTCTCTCTCTCTCTCTCTCTCTCTCTCTCTCTCTCTCTCTCTCTCTCTCTCTCTCTCTCTCTCTCTCTCTCTCTCTCTCTCTCTCTCTCTCTCTCTCTCTCTCTCTCTCTCTCTCTCTCTCTCTCTCTCTCTCTCTCTCTCTCTCTCTCTCTCTCTCTCTCTCTGTCTCTCTCTGTCTCTCTCTGTCTCTCTCTGTCTCTCTCTGTCTCTCTCTGTCTCTCTCTGTCTCTCTCTGTCTCTCTCTGTCTCTCTCTGTCTCTCTCTGTCTCTCTCTGTCTCTCTCTGTCTCTCTCTGTCTCTCTCTGTCTCTCTCTGTCTCTGTCTCTCTCTGTCTCTCTCTGTCTCTCTCTGTCTCTCTCTGTCTCTCTCTGTCTCTCTCTGTCTCTCTCTGTCTCTCTCTTCTCTCTCTTCTCTCTCTTCTCTCTCTCTCTCTCTCTCTCTCTCTCTCTCTCTCTCTCTCTCTCTCTCTCTCTCTCTCTCTCTCTCTCTCTCTCTCTCTCTCTCCCGCCCGCGGCTCCTCTGACCGCCCCCTCCCCCTCCGCGCCCGCAGCTTTGAGACGGAGTGGACGACGGCGTCTAACGCGCTGACGCCGGACAAGAGCAGCTTTATGGTGATGGACCTGGAGCCAGCCACGTGGTACGACCTGCGCGCCACGGCGCACAACAACGCCGGCTCCACGCAGGCCGAGTACCTGTTCGCCACGCTCGACGAGGAGGGAGGTCAGTCGCGGGGGGAGAGGGTCAGTCAGGGCCGGGGAGGGGGGTGAGGAGGGAGGTCAGTCATGGAGGGGAGAGGGGTGAGGTGGGAGGTCAGTCGCGGGTGAGGGGGTCAGTCGGAGGGGTGGGGGACGGGGGTCAGTCGGAGGAGAGGGGAGGTCACCACCTCTCCAGCGGACACTATACGGGGCACGTGCCTCCACAGGCAGTGAATGCATACACTCGTTGGGCGGCCGCTCTTCACTGAGACTGGGTGCATGAGGGTCTTGTTTTGGTTACTTGTTTAGTTGTACGACATTAATAGCATATATACATTTCGCCCTGCGTTTCTTTTGGTTTCTTACCGTTCCAATATTGCTGCGTCATAAAACACGCCGTATCCTCCAGACATGTTGCAATATCAGCATTGCAAGTGTTTTTCATATCGATTTATGTGTCTTTTTTACATATCACCGCTGTTGTTCCGTTTCGCCGCATTGTGACCTTACTTACCAGCTCTCGCTCTAAGGACGTTTCCAGGATCAGCGGCGCCGGCGCATCTCGTCACTGGTCTTGGGCTCTTGTCGATATGTTTGTGTGTCGATATGCCCCCTGGTAATTCGAGGGAACCACGGTGAAACACTGGGCTCGGTGCTACTTGGTGTTCTCTATTTTTTATACAGAACTTCTTTCAAAAACACTTCAAACATTTCAACTATTCGCGCAGCATACAATTACCCGATGCGAAGTGAGCTACTTTTGGGGTGTCCCGCCGCCTCTGACGGCCTGGGATGGGGTCTATGCCGCCTGTGGCGGCCGGGGGGTCTATCCGGGGTGGGATGAGTCTGTACTTGCGTGGGATGAGTCTGGGTCGGCCCGCCAGGGTGGGTCTGTCCCGGGCTGGGTCTGTGCCGGGTTGGGCCTGTCTCGGGCTGGGTCTGTCCCGGGCTGGGTCTGTGCCGGGCTGGGCCTGTTCCGGGCTGGGTCTGTCTCGGGCTGGGTCTGTCTCGGGCTGGGCCTGTGCCGGGCTGGGCCTGTGCCGGGCTGGGCTGGCTCCATCCCACCTCTGACGGTGGCTCGTTACAGGGACGGTCGGCCCGCCGGGAAGGGGGGGGGGCTACCCTACCTCTGACGGCCGCCTGTTGCAGGGACGGTCGGCCCGCCGGAGGGGGGGGGAGGAGGTATGTACTGGGCTGGCTCCATCCCACCTCTGACGGCTGCCGGTTGCAGGGACGGTCGGCCCGCCGGGCTGGGTCTGTGCAGGATGACCTGGGTCTGGACGTGGGTCCCGTCTACCCCACCTCTGACGGCGGCTCGTTACAGGGACGGTCGGCCCGCCGGGGGGGGGGGAGGGGTCTCTCCTACCTCTGACGGCTTCCTGTTGTAGGGACGGTGGAACCGCCGGGGGGAAGGGGTCTAACCCACCTCTGACGGGGTCTGCCCCGGGTCGGTCCTACCTCTGACGGCGGCTCGTTGCAGGGACGGTCGGCCCGCCGGGGAGGTTCCGCCCCACCTCTGACGGCGGCTCGTTACAGGGACGGTCGGCCCGCCGCGCTCTGTCGACGAGGACACGGTGCTGACCGGCGCCGTGCCGCTGCTCACCAACCCGATGGTGACCGTGCCGCTGGCCGTGGCCGTGGCCGCGCTCGTACTGGGAACCGTGGCCGTCGTCTGCCTGCGCCGCCGCGCCGCGCCCGGCCCCAAGGGTGAGTGTGTGAGGCCGAGTCTGACGCGCCGCGCCCGCGCCGGCAGGCACCGTCGGCCCGCCGCTGGTGCGGCCCGGAGCCGACGGCGACGACTGGTGGGACCAGCTGCCCGCCTGGCTGCCCGACCTGAACGTGCTGGTGCCCACCGCCTGCGGCCTGCTCGTGCTGCTGGTCGGCCTCTGTGTGCTCTGCGTCTACCTCGGATCGCGCAACCGCAACGGCGCCCAGCGCTTCAAAGGTAGCCGGCGACGCGGCGGCCGGATAGGCCAGTGTCCGGTGGCGGCGCTCTCAGCTGGGACGCGCTCCTGAGAACTGCGACCAGCTGCAGGCCCTGCTGGGCAGATCGTCTGCTAATGTCGGCAATGTTGTCACTTTAAACCAATAATCTGACTTTTAAGGCATAAGTTGTTTTTGTGTCTCTGTACGTCATGAAGTATGGTCGCCAACAATGCTGCGCCCGCCACGTCACATCTGCACATGCTGCGCCCCCATCCATAGGCTGTCCCGACGCCCCCCAGCCGTAGGCTGCCCCGACTCCCCCATCCATAGGCTGCCCCGACGCCCCCCAGCCGTAGGCTGCCCCGACGCCCCCCAGCCGTAGGCTGCCCCGACTCCCCCCGTCCGCGGGCTGTCCTGAGCTGACTCCTCCGCCTGTAGGCCGTGCCGTCCTGACGTCCCCCGCCCACCCGCCCTCCGGCAGATGACGCCCAGTACACGCAGCCGCCGCCACACCAGAACCGGTTGTACAACGAGGAGCTGGGCTACATCGCGCCGCCCAACCGCAAGCTGCCGCCGATCCCGGGCTCCACGTACAGCACGCTCGGCTCCCAGGTCAAACGGATGCCCGGAGGTGAGCCCAGCCGCGGCACTCAGCAGCGAGCCGCAGCCTGCCTGGCCTAGACGCGCAGTCACTGCCGCGGCGCCGGGGTTACCGGGGTAGCCAGTCCTGTTCACAGTCGGTCCGAGAAGTAGTCCGCTGAGTTGGACGGATAAGGTCAGAATTTTCGTACTTTCTTTTACCTTTTTGTGACATGTTTTTGTTGTACTTGCTGCACAAAGGCTGGTTAGATGTTCTATCTCGTTACTTTATTGTCTAGCTACGCTGGCACTAATCGGCGGCGCTGCGGCCGGCCCGTCGAGTCCTCCCGACTCGGCGGCGACCGGCGGCAGCTGCATGGACGTGCGGCGCGGCGATGGGCGGCCGGCGGCTCGCAACAAATTCACTGCGGAGTGCACCAAATTCACCGCGGAGCGCACCAAAGTAACCGCGCCGCGTACCAAATTACCTGCGGCTCATTTCGAAATCAAATTCGTACTAAATTCGCCACGACTCGTACCAAACTCGCCATGGCCCGTTCCAAGCTACCGGTCATCGGTCTCGCTTTGGCTAGAGTCCACAGACCTTGAAATTCCCCGCATATAACCATAGGATAGCTGTGCGGATTCCCAGTGAATTCGGCTTTAATTGCTCTTCAAAACTGATGACTGATAAAGGGAGATAGTACAGATGACTATCAAGGCTAAAATTGACATGTCCGCATTGCCACAGAGCCCAGGAAATGCCCACTTGGACGCTACCTGCCTTTTTTTGTCCGCATCGCTTTTGATGCGTTTTGGTATCAGATTTTGAGGATGCGCTCCGGCTCCGTATTGTTATGTCTTGTGCGCGTTTGTTTTAGCGTCACTCCCCGGCTTGGTAAGGTTATAATAGGGCGCTTACCTGTCCGTTTCTGGACACGGCTTAGGCCTCCGGTTTGAGGTAGATGCTCAACAGCTAGCAGCACTGGCCACCGCTTTGCTGCTACGCTTCAGCGATATCCGCCTCTTTTGCTTCGATGATGCGTACATTGTTTGGCATCGCCTGAGCATCGTACTTTGCACTCACTGTGTCTTCTTAACTCGGAAATGTGTAACAACGTGAAGGTCACTATAAGCTGCTAACTAACCGGTGTCAGCGCCGCTGAGCGCCGCTGTCGTGTTCTGACGGCCGAGCCGCCCGGAGCCAGACCGCCGTCCCCAGCCGCTCCCTACCCGTCCGCCATCTCCGCACTCCGCATGCCATTTTCGCTTGGTGTCGCTCTTTGGCGATCTTGCATTGTGGCAGTGTGAGAGTGCAGAGTGAGAGTCGAGTAGACCCGTCCCTCGTCCGTCCTTGCGTCCGCGCCGGCCCGGTGACCGCCACTAGCGCACGCAGCTCGGCGCGGCGCGGCGCCGGCGGACGGCCGGGCGCGATCTGCGGCGGCTCGGCGGCGGCGCGACTCGGGAGGGGTGCCCGTCCACAGCTGTACCGTGAACTGACGCTCGTGGTGCGGGTCTGGACGGGGCCGCTCGCGCGCCGTGCCTCCCCGTGTGGCCGCGGCCCGTTCGGTGTCCGCCGTCCGCCGGCCCCGGGCGGCCGCCGCCTCAGTGTCGTCCGCCCGTCTGTGCGCCTGCCCGGCGGCCCGCGGTCCCGCCCGTCCCGTACCCTCCAGAGAGTGATGTGCGCGCGTGTGTGACACAGGGGCGCTGAGCGTCTACGGGCCGGCCAACCCGCGCCACCAGTACGAGGAACTGACCCAGCAGCAGTACCAGGCGACCTACGGCGCCCCGCCGCGGCCGCCGCCGCATGGCGTGCCCACCAGTCCCAGCACGTACTACAGCGGTGAGACGAGCTGCCAGCCAGCGCGGACGGCAGGAGGCGCCGCCAGCCGGCAGCCGGCTGGCCTGGTGAACCGCCCAGGGCGCCGGGGGCAGGGAGGGAGAGTGGGAGAGAGAGAAAGAGAGAGAGAGAGAGACAGAGAGACAGAGGGGAGGTGGGATTGAGAAAAGTGAGAGAGAGAGAGGCTTGGAGTGATGGAATGCATGATTGACGATGGGTTTTACGCCTGCCGGATAATGGTTTAATGTGCATCTGTGTGCATGCGTGTAGTCGGTTTAATTGATCAGATGTGCATGCAGTTACAATGAGCGCCCGTGAGCGGCCCGCCCGCCGGCCCTATGCCGCACGTTGACGGCCCGCCGCCCGCTGTGCCGCCAGTGGTCGGGCCGAACGGTGAGGAGGAGATCGCGCCGTACGCCACGTTCCACCTGCTCGGCTTTAGGGAGGAGATGGATCCGTCTGGGGAGACGCCGGCCGGCTGTCAGACCATGGCGCCGCGGCCCGGCCAGCACGGCAGACAGATGTCGGCGCCGGCCGTACGCACCCTGGTTAGTACCGGTACCGGCGAGAGGGTCCACCCTGTTCAGTACCGGAGAGGGGAGTTCACCGTGGTCAGTACCGGGAGAGGGGAGGGGTTCACCCTGGTCAGTACCGGGAGAGGGGGGTTCACCCTGGTTAGTGCCGGTACCGGCGAGAGGGTCCACCCTGTTCAGTACCGGAGAGGGGAGTTCACCGTGGTCAGTACCGGGAGAGGGGAGGGGTTCACCCTGGTCAGTACCGGGAGAGGGGGGTTCACCCTGGTCAGTATCGGTACCGGGGAGGGGTCCACCCTGGTCAGTACCGGGGAGGGGTTCACCCTGGTCAGTATCGGAAAGGGGAGGGAAGGGGCTCACCCTGGTCAGTACCGGGAGAGGGGGGTTCACCCTGGTCATTACCGGGGGAGGGGAGGGGCTCACCCTGGTCAGTATCGGAAAGGGGAGGGAAGGGGCTCACCCTGGTCAGTATCGGAGAGGGAAGGGAAGGTGTTCACCCTGGTCAGTACCGGGAGAGGGGAGGGAAGGTGTTCACCCTGGTCAGTATCGGAGAGGGGTTCACCGTGGTCGGTACCGGAGAGGGGAGGGGTTCACCGTGGTCCGTGGTCAGTACCGGGGAGGGGAGGGGTCCACCGTGGTCAGTACCGGAGAGGGGAGGGGTTCACCCTGGTCAGTACAGGGAGAGGGGGGGGTCACCGTGGTCAGTACCGGGGAGGGGTACCGGCCTGTACCGGGGAGGGGTACCGGCCTGTTCCGGGGAGGGGTACCGGCCTGTACCGGGGAGGGGTACCAGTCTGTACCGGGGAGGGGTACCAGTCTGCAGTGGCGAGGCTCGCGGGGACACTGACCCTGCTCTGCACGCCGCCGCGGTCGCAGCTGCGTACCGCCGCACACGACCGCCTGCGGTCCCCTGCAGCTCAGCTCGGGCAGGCCATTGGAGGGCAGCTGGCGTTCTTGCGGTCAGCGGTGGTATTCCTTTACATAATGCGTGCGGTTCTGGCGCACTTATTTAGATAATGAGCGCTGAACACTCATAGTCTAGAATGTCATTATCTGGTCATGCTTCAAATTATTCAATAAATCGAATTAACTGAGACGTAACCATATTGCTAATCAGCTATCGGTATGTTGATATGGTTAGCGATATCTTTTTTTTCTAAAATAGCAATAATAATGCTCCTAATCAGGCCTGGCCCTGTTGTAGCAAACCTGGGGAGTAGGGACATCCATGGTGGTTGGTTATCCACGGCTTGCTCATTAGTTATTGCTGGCGCCCAATAAAAGCTCCATTTTTCTGCTTTGACGTCCTCTCACCCCCCCCCCCCCCCGCTCCCTGGTACAGCCGGTGAACCCGCTGACATGTCCACCCCTCCCCCCTCGTACAGCCGCGCAACACGCGCTACAGCCAGCCGGTGAACCCGCTGTCACGTCACCCCTAACCACGCCCCCCCCCCCCCCCTCGTACAGCCGCGCAACACGCGCTACAGCCAGCCGGTGAACCCGCTGCCGCCGCCGGCCCACCAGGCGCGTGCCTCGCTCGGCGGCGGCGGCGGCGGCTCGGTGTTCTCGCCCACCTACGACGACCCGGCGCGCTCGGACGACGAGGCCAACTACAACAGCAGCCAGTACAGCGGCGGCGGCCCGTACGCCGCGCTCGACGACTCCTCCAGCCGCACGGGCACGGCGCGGCGCAACGGTGAGCCGCGCGCCGGGCGGGGGCGCCGGACTACAGGGGAGGGGTACCAACCTATAGTGGAGGGGACAGCGCGGCGCAACGGTGAGACGAGGGCCGGGCGGGGGGCGCCGACCTACGAGGGAAGTGGCACCGGCCTGCGAGGGGGAGGTGCAGTCCGTAAATTCAGTTCAGGTGCTATTCATACCCAAACTGAGCAGCGCTCAGGACGGCACTGGAATAGGACAAGCTGGGTCATCGTCGTCCCTGATTAGAAACAAGCTGAGAGATTTTGATGACTACCCAGGCGCTAGGACCGGGAAATAAATGAGAATTAGTTGGCAGATAGGATGGGGCATATGGCTTTGTAATGTGAATGGCAGTTGGCACAGTTCGGGGAGCTGTTCGATATTTTCGGTAGCCTTATGGGGCTAGTTTGGGGTGTCAGGGGTGGGTGCTAAATGGAGAGGGGTGCGGGTGGCTGGGGCGGCGCGCCGCATGTCGAGGACGGCCCCTCGGGCCGCATGGCAGCGCCCCGCGGCTGGTACGATTGTAGCCGCGCATCTAGTGCCACTAAATTGCCGGCGCTGCAAAGAAAAACCACAACGGAGCGAGCTGCTCAGGTGGGCTCGGAAATTTGCACACAGAAATAACGTAGGGAATATAGAGCTAAATTGTCCGTTGTAGGTACGCCATGGCGCGCTGTGCGGCGTCGTTGGCATCCTGCTCAGCTGGGGCGACTGGGGGGGACCGGGGCGGGCCCGCTGGTCTGGACAGCTCCGTCCATCCCGCGGCCACTCACTGACACTGGAGCCGCTGCACGCTGCCCCGTTCTGCCTGATTCGTGTACATGACGTAAATGGCTCTACTCTCCTTTATTCATTCTTAGAATGTTTATTGTACTTGTATGTGCATAGTGATTACCGTTAAATTCAATAACATATCAGTAGATTTCATCCGTAAACGGCCACAAAATTATGTCGCTTCAGACTGTGCAAATTGAGCAATAAGCTAAATCATATATTTGAGGATGAATGCTTTTCAGTAATGGCTTATATTGCACTTTGCCCCGCGACTTACAATATTAGGGGTCGATATTTCCCAATCCCCGGTCCTGTCCCCAGGCTCATTTATGCCTTGCCTTGAAGTGGTAAACACTCTGGGTGTGCAACATAGTAACATACGCATATAGTTAGTTACATATTTTAAGAGTTGCTTTTTGACCTACCCCTTGACCTAACCTGAGGTCAACTTTACCTGAACTCAAGGTCATGAACATTCTGATAAAGTCTATAACCTAGAGATAATTGAAAGAAGTTTTTCCTCGACTTATTATCCTAGACACCGTTCATATTTGGAAAGCGGTTCAGTGGTTTCTGAGGGTAAAATGTCGCCGCCTTCTCCCCTCCCCTGCGTAAGTCGTGGGCCAAGTCGCCGTTCCTCTGTAGCAACTGGTTTGTCATTTACTATTTTGATGTGTGAATGGCCGTTATTTCGGATGAAATCTGCTCTCCCTTTTTGCAACATTGAACGATATGTCTATGGTCTGTTCGTACTCTGCATGCTGTATGGGCGCGCCGTTCGCGCGGCGCGCCGTATCAGCACGTAGTTGGCCGTGCCACGCACCCGCCGGCGGTCGGCCGGCCGCCCCTGCCGTCCGCTGCGCACCGCTCTGACCCCGGCCGCCGTCTGCCGCCGCCGCCAAGGCCCGGAGCCGGCCGCCGCCGGCTGGGCGGCCGACTGCGGCTCGCTGCCGCCGCCGCCGCCCTCGCTGCTGACGGACGAGCCGCTGCCGCCGCCGCCGCCGCCGCGCGCCTCCCTGGACGACTCCAACACCTCGCAGCAGACGGACACATCGGCCATGGAGTGCGACCGCGACCAGGCGCTGCTGGCAGGTACGGTGCGCCGCCCGCGGCCCGGCCCGACCCGGCCCGGCCGGCAGGTACAGTGAGCCGCCCGGCCCGGCTCCCGGCGGCACCCGAGGCTCGGCCGAGCTCCATTGTACCCTATAGTCGGCCTCAGTGTACCCAATAGCCGGTCCCTGTGTACCCTGCAGTCGGCCGCGGCTGGTAGTGCTGCTCTCGCCCGTAGCTGCCGTAGCTTCTGTACATGTGTACCTCAGGTAGTGGCTGACGGGATGGTATGCTGCGTATGCTGCATCTCGGCCCGCCTCTGTTGGATGTGGGTCGCGGCCGGGAGGACCGGCCCGCGCCGGAGCGGCCCACAGGGTGACGGTTACTGCATGTACTCCCGGTGGGGTGCGGTACCGGCCGGGGCGGCGCGGAGACGGACTTCTGAGGGGCCCCGGGGAACTGACTGGGTTACCCGCTGCGTGAGCTGCCGGTGGTGGCCAGTTGAGGGTATAATACTGAACTCCTCAGCCTGGGTAGGGCTGAGATAATGTGGAGGTGTGATTTGTGTGCTGACCGGGCTGATGTGTGGACCGTGCTGACCTGGCTAATGTGTTGACTGTGCTGACCGGGCTGGTATGTGTACTGTGCTGACCGGTTAGGTGTGGACTGTGCTGACCGGGACTGTGCTGACCGGACTGGGGTGTGGACTGTGCTGGCCGGGACTGTGCTGACCGGGCTGGTATGTGGACTGTGCCGACCGGGCTAGGTGTGGACTGTGCTGACTGTGGACTGTGTGCTGTGCTGACCGGACTGATGTGTGGACTGTGTTCTGTGCTGACCGGACTGATGTGTGGACTGTGCTGACAGGGGGCTCAAGTGTGGACTGTGTGCTGTGCTGACCGGGACTGTGCTGACCGGGGGCTGAGGTGTGGAGCGTCTGTGGGTGGGTGCCGGCTGGCCGTCTGTCCCGCGGGTTCCGCCCCACGGTAGCGCCGGACCGTACCGCCGTCTGACGTGTCGGTGCGTCGGCTCCGTTGCAGATAGTCCCCAGTTCGGCAAGGACGGCAGACCCGCGGACGAGACACGCAAGCTGCTCGACAGGTGAGACGGCTCGGTGGCGGCAGAAGGGATGTGGCAGACCCGGAGACAGCTAGGGGCGGGGCTGTAACCGCGGCGGGAGAAGGGATGGGTACAGACCTGGAGACAGCTGGGGCGGGGCTGCTCGGCGCGGCGGGAGAAGGGATGGGGACAGACCCGGAGACAGCTAGGGGCGGGGCTGCTCGGCGGCGGGAGAATGGGCGCGGTTCGGGGCTGTGGACACACCCATAGACAGCGGGGGGTGGGACCAGAGACATCGTACACCCAGAGCGCCGTTCGGAAATTATTAACGCTTCCTGCTTTCGTATCAGCCAAAGAATATGGTGCAGTGAGCATAGGCGGCGGAACGATTTGAGACAAGGGGGGGCACCATGGCTCAAGGAGCCAAGCCTAGGGTACCCCCAAATCCTGTTTTCTCATCGGATTTAGGCCACTTATTTTTCGTCACAGCCCTGACACGATATTTTTTTTTTTTTTTACTAAACGAAAATGGCAGTTCACCCCCGTATGCAGGGGTGTACCTAATTTTATATCTCTTTGTGGGGGCATATGCACCCACAATCCTGAAGTATGCCCCCACAATGATGAAAAGGCACCCACAAGTCTTTTACAAGGCTGCAAGCGTCCTTTCGAGAGCACGGTGCCCTTCGCATGCTCTAACGGCGTCCTCCTGACCGTCTCGCGTTCATGGATAGCGTTTTGATCACTCGGCGCCCTTCTGGGAGAATGGCGCACTTTTGACAGCACCACGCCATTCTCATGGTCTAACGGCGCCCTCCTGACCGTCTCGCGTCCTTAGGTCTCTGTTCACCGTGCATCCCTGGACTATTCGGCGCCCTTCTGGCCTCTCAGCGCCCCTGAACCACATATAGCGTTTTCAATCACTCGGCACCCTTTTACGAGAATGGCGCCCTTTTCATGATCTCAAGGCGCCCTCGTAACCATCTGGCGCCCCCACGTCCCCACCAACGTAGTACTACTGACTGTGCGGCGCCCTTCTGGCCTCTTAGCGCCCCTGGACCACATAGCGTTTTCAATCACTCGGCGCCCTCCTAAGAGAATGGCGCCCTTTTCATCGTCTCACGGCGCCCTCGTAAGTCGTAACCGTCTGGCGCCTCCACATTTGGTGCCCCTCCTACTGGATGGCGCCTCTCTACATATTTTTTACGTCCTTCCGGTCAGTTTCCACTTTTAAGCGTGTATTTGCTTAGTCAGACACGTCACTTGAAGCGCCATTCGGCTAGCAATGTTATCAAATTCGGTGTTAATTTAGGCTCCCACATAAAGAATATCTATCGCGCCCCAAAACGGCCTGGCGCCGGGCGCCCCTACAGCTGGGCACCCACAATCATTTTAGGAAAATTACACCCCTGCCCGTATGTGTGGTTAACTTTAAGCTGATCCTCAAGTACCTATGTGTTTGTCTCTTCCTTATTGTCGTTTGATAAATTCCATTTATCCTACATGTATAATTCCCAAGAAGCCATCGCAGTACTAATCAGTGGCGAATCCCAGGGTGGAGGTCACATGGGTCATGACTTAGGGCCTGGGGTCACCACATGCCTGCCAGGAGCACCACAGGCCTGACAGCCGACAGGGGCACCACAGGCCCGCCAGGGGTGCCAAAGGCCTAGCAGGGGCACCACGGGCCTGTCAGTAGCACCACAGGCCTGTCAGGAGCACCATCGGCCTAGCAAAAGCACTACAGGTCTTCCAGGGGCACCACAGACCTGCCAGGGGCACCAGAGGCCTGTCAGGGACACTATCGGCTTCGCAGGGGAACCACCGGCTTCGCAAGGGCACCATGGGCCTGTCAAGGGCACCACAAGCCTGTCGTTGGCAATTTAGGATTGTCAGAGGCACCACAAACCTGTCAAGGGCACCTGCGTTCTAACAGGGGCACCACAAACCTGCCAAGGCCCAGGGACACCACAGGCCTAGCAAGGACACCACAGGCCTGTCAGGGGCACCACGGGCCTGTCAGGGCCCATGGGCACCTAAGTCATGTCAGGGCCCACCGTAGGCTTGTCAGGGGGCAGGGTAGGTAGGTACCACAGTCTTTCCAGGGGCACCAGCGGCTTAGCAGGGGCACCAGTCATCACATGACCTATGACATGACTAACCAAAAATAAAGAAAAAAAAACTGAAAATAGGGCACCACCAAAATTAAGTGGCCGAAATCCGTTGAGGTTTTGATTTTGGGCATAGGTATAGGGGCACCACTTCGATTCATGAACCTCCCCTTAGAGTTTTCCCGAATCCGCCCCTGGTACTAATACATCAAATTTAAGGGGGGGGCACCTTGCTATTGGTGCCCCCCTTGCAGAATTCAAGGGGGGGCACGGTGCCCCGGTGCCCCCCCCGTTCCGCCGCCTATGGCAGTGAGGTGTTGGCCGCGACATTAGGCTGAATGCTGGGAGCTGAATATGTCCCTGTCAGTGTTTAGGTGCGCGACTCGGGAATAAGCCGTCGTCTGTGTGGCCGTCTGTTGCCGACTAGATGGCAGGGGTCGTAGGTGGCGGGTCTCGCCGCGGCGGCGGGCCGCTGGTCCGTGAATCATAGCCGCAGGCCGTGTAGGAGCCGGGACACAGTTTCCCTGCAGACGTGCTGGGCTCCCATCAGTCGTAGCAGGGAATGGCGTGTTCAACCGGCGCCCATTGTGTGACAACGACGCCAGAAACCGGCTGGTGTCACCCTATCGGGCCCAAATCTGCCCGCCCGCGCCAAAAATCCAATTAACTGAAACTGTTCTGAGTCAGTGAGCGTTTGCGTCAGAGCGACGTCCGCTCCTGTGTAGGTTTTCAGGTGTGGCTGGGCTTTCCAGTTACCCTGGTGGTCGCGATATACAGTTATAATCAAAACCTGGTGAATACCAAAACAGGAGCCAGGAAATCGGCATACATTGTTTGTCTCTAAAAAGTGTTAACTGATGTTTGTGTGCTGTGGCTACCGCTCATTTCAAAACATTTGCCTTTTCTGACACGGTGTTTGTGGTTTGAGTACAAAAAGCGGCCCACCGGGCGGCCGGTGCCAGCCGACCCGCTGTCTCTCGGCGCCTCACAGTTCGCCGTCTGAGCCGTCAACAATCGGCCCGGCTGACGAAACGGCCCGAGTTTTCCACCGAAACGGCCGGGCGGTGGGCGGCAGAACGGGCGAGCGGCGGCACGCTGTGAGCGAACGGCGCTGCTCTGGCGCCCTCAGAGGCCGCCGTTTGTGCCGCCGCGGTCGCCTCTGTCGGGTAAACCTCGGTCGGGCCCTGGCCAGACTGTCTGGTGGTCCGCCAGGGGGCCGACAGCGTTTACTGAGCGCCGCCGCCAGACCACTGCTCCCAGACGTTATTTGTTCATTCAGTGGCAACAAAGGCCGAAACTTCTGCGAAACGGAGAATCGGTAGTCTTATCAACCTGAATCTGAACCTGCCGGCTTCAGCTGCGCGGTGTTCTGCAGGAGGCTCATGGGATGCGTAATTCATATTTCTTTACTTTTTGTACTCTAATGCTATGCATTCAACATAGCAATTATGCGGTTCTGAAGCATTGAACTCATTCAATCGGTGGCTCTGCGTGCCATGTGTGCCTTACTATCCCGACCATCCTAGTGCCACCGGGAGGGTGAGAGAGATCGCGACGCGACGCGACGCTCGTCACCGGTGTCTGACCCGTGTGGCCACTGTAACGCCCGCTGCCCCTCCACTGTCGCCGTGTGTAACACTCCCTCCACTGTCGCCATATATAACACACGGCACTCCACTGTCTCCGTGTGTAACACCCGCTCCCTCCACTGCCGCCGTGTGTAGCACCCCTCCACTGTCGCCGTGTGTAACACCCCTCCCTCCACTGTCGCCGTGTGTAACACCCCTCCCTCCACTGTCGCCGTGTGTAACACTCCCTCCACTGTCGCCATGTTTAACATTCCCTCCACTGTCGCCGTGTGTAACACTCCCCTCCCTCCACTGTCGCCGTGTGTAACACCCGCTCCACTGTCGCCGTGTGTAACACCCCTCCACTGTCGCCGTGTGTAACACCCCTCCACTGTCGCCGTGTGTAACACTCCTCCCTCCACTGTCGCCGTGTGTAACACTCCCTCCCTGCACTGTCGCCGTGTATAACACCCTCTCCCCCTCAATACCCGCTCCACTGTCGCCGTGTGTAACACTCCCTCCACTGCCGCCGTGTGTTATAACAATTCTCTTATTCCTCCCTCCACTGTCGCCGTGTGTAACACTCCCCTTTCTCCACTGTCGCCGTGTGTAACACCCCTCTCTCCACTGTCGCCGTGTGTAACACTCCCTCCACTGTCGCCGTGTGTAACACCCCTCCACTGTCGCCGTGTGTAACACCCCTCCACTGTCGCCGTGTGTAACACCCCTCCACTGCCGCCGTGTGTAACACTCCCCTCCCTCCACTGTCGCCGTGTGTAACACTCCCCTCCCTCCACTGTCGCCGTGTGTAACACTCCCCTCCCTCCACTGTCGCCGTGTGTAACACCCCTCCCTCCACTGTCGCCGTGTGTAACACCCCTCCACTGTCGCCGTGTGTAACACCCCCTCCCTCCACTGTCGCCGTGTGTAACACTCCCCTCCCTCCACTGTCGCCGTGTGTAACACCCCTCCACTGTCGCCGTGTGTAACACCCCTCCACTGTCGCCGTGTGTAACACTCCCTCCACTGTCGCCGTGTGTAACACCCCTCCCTCCACTGTCGCCGTGTGTAACACTCCCTTCCTCCACTGTAGCCTCGTATAACACTCCCTCCCTGCACTGTCTCCGCTCGTCAGCGACAAGGAGTCGTAAGTGAAGCGTGGCCGGCCTGGCGAGCCGCCTCACGTTAGTACTATCGGCTCTCCTCTCTTCTCTGTGTACCCTGCAGACGCTGCAGACCCTCTATGTGTTATGTACCTTGTAGTTTATCGGTCTGTTCCCTGCTGAACACCGTCGCACTTTCCTCTCTCTCTCTCTCTCTGTCGCTGTAGTTCTCCGTACACCGGCTCATTTTCCACACTGGCTCATCTTATTTATTTATTTATTTATTTATTTATTTATTTATTTATTATGAGATTTTTGCTCGGCCTAGTTCCATAGACTACTTTTACTTTCCCTAGACCTCTCTCCCGTCTGTTAGTCTTTCTGGATCGTCTGCCGTTTGTTGTAGTGCAGTGTATTTAGGGGTGTGCGATGTATGTCGGAGGCCACCGATGCCGCGGCGACAGGACGCTGTTGGCAGACTGTGCGTCAGGGTAGTCAGTGTCCGGCCGTTACCGATCGGAAAATGGGTATGACTGGACCGTCGACGTGCCAGAGGCTGGAGTCCGCCCGGGCCTGCATCGCGTTCTTACCTCCAGTTGCATGCGATTATCCATGTTTACACACTGCTAAGGGTGGCAGGGAGACACTTGTTGATTAGCATGTGAAAGAACACTGATAACACGTTCCCTGTAAGAATGCACTGGTTGACTTCATGTTGAATTGTGTATTACTTTTTTAGCTCGTTACCGAAAGCCTCTGAGCACGCAGGGCGACCCGTAAGCTCTTATCGCACATTCATCCTTTGTTCCAGGCTTTCATTGCGTTCTCTGAAACCCTTTACTTCTTCTAGCTGTAGCATAAGCGGAACATTGTATGTTGTGAAATTGAATATTGCGTTACAAGTGGATGCGTATTGCCCCAACTGCGAGTGACGAGTGCCTCCCTCATCGAATGGTGTTATACCAATGATGATTCCACCGCAGAGCGTATCGCCTGTATTTCGGCTACCTAGGCTCCTCAATGGGAATTTGCTATGCTTATCACCAACAAGTACCGCACTTCACTCACGGCCCAGCCAGTGTATAATAGGCGTGTTGACAAACCTTTTTGTTGCGGAACTGTTTTACATTAGTTGGCTTTCTTCGGCAAAAGGCTGTTTTCTTCTCCAGAATATGAATCGTCTTTCGATGCCTGTTCCTAATTCTATTAGGTATGTATTTATTGGTGATATTCTTTATTCACGCTCGGTGCGTAGCTGATAGTACAAAAGTGATGTCGGTCTTTATGTGTAACCTGGTCGCCGCTGTTTCGCTGTTATCTGTGGAGACATCCAATCTGTATTGATGACGGACGCTCAGACGGACGGCTGGTGGTGCGTGCTCTGGGGCGCTGCCGCCAGAGTCCCCGCCAGCTCACCATCTGGCCGGTCCAGTTCGCTCGTCGTCTCACTCAGTATACCCTAGTTCGTCACTGTCTCTAGAGACTCGGAAGCGCGGGGTCCTCGCCGCAGTTCGGCTGGGTCTTCCGCACACCGTGATGGGTTACAGGTCGGCTGTTCCGCACAGCGGGATGGGTTACAGGTCGGCTGTTCCGCACACCGGGATGGGTTTACAGGTTGGCTGGGTGTTCCGCACATTGCGATCGACTCCGCCGGCAGCGCGGGCCATCGGTTCTGTGAAGACGAACTCCGGACAGGCTCCAAGGCTGACCTCTGGGTCAAAATCGTGTCGTTAAAAGTAATCGATTTGTGCAGACATTGCATGATTTATCACGATTTACCTCTGAATTATGATCGATGGAAGTGCATAAATATTTGTTTGATAAATAGTTACAGGGAGCTCAATTTGTCGAGGAGGTCAATTACTCTGTGTAATTCCGCATGAACTTTGACCTCTTGGGTCTTATTAATTATTTCTTTCGATGGAAGCGTATAACTGCTGATGTGTTCCTCATATATTGGCTCATACGTGTTTATATATCCAAAGCACTTTTCCTGCAACCAACTAGTTAGCATTTACGAACGTCGCCAAGATTGGTGAGGAAAAATGTTCTGGGAGCAGCGTTTCTCTGTAGCTATGCTAGGTCGCTGACGCTGCCGTTCGCTCCGGCAGGAACGAGGCTCGCCGGCCGCACGGGACGACTCAGAACGGCGCGCTGGTGCCCTACGACACGGTGAACGTGTGAGCGCGCCGCACCCCGCCGCCGCCGCCGCCGGCCGCACTCCCGTGCCATGACGCCGCTTCTCCGCCGCTGCTGCCGCCCCGCTGCCGCCGCCGCCGCTCGGTGTTTGCCTAGATGTTGGCTTCTCGACGTGTGTATCTAAGTCAGTGTAGAGCGCTGGTCAGGGACGCGCGGAGGCCGGGCCGGCCGCCCGGCCGCCGGCGCCCCGCCAGCCGTAGTGTCCGTTTTTGTATAAGACTCGGTGTTTCGATGGCCGGGTGGCGCGCCCCGTTTGCGGCAGCGCCCGTTGTGATAGGTCTGGTCGTGCGCAGGTGAGACTGATGGGGGCCGGTCGGAGGCAGGGCCCGGCGCACTAGTCTGGTCAGAGTGAGTGGCAGCGGAGCGCCGACACGACTCAGAGGGGGCCGCCCGTGGCCGCCCGCCGCGTCCGCTGCCGGCCGACGGCGCTGGACAATCGTGTACTTAAATTCAACACCGGCTCCAGTCTCTTCCGTGCGACTGCTCAACTCGCGTCTTCGCTGGACCAGAGTGCACGTCGTGGGCAGGGCGCAGCGCCGGGCTTAGGGAGTCGATGTCGCGCCGCCGGCCCGCGCCGAGGGATTTTGGACGCGTTTTTCAGCATGTGCGCTTGGGTATGTTACTAATTGTGCAGGACCGGTCAGGCGCTGCCGCGCATCGTTTATGATTGGAATGCATCGATCTGTGGCCGGTGACGAGTGTGTAGCTGCACTAACGATCTGTCATTTCCTAACGGTTCATTCGTAGTCGCCATGTGCCAATTTTAGTTGTCGCGCTATATTAGCGACTCGCACGCTCTCGTGTATGTGACTGTAATCTCCCGGAGCGCAGGGCCCGGCTTTTCGGGCAGCAGACCGCGCATAGCTGCTCCAGCGCTCCACATTTAGCTGCTCTCTCGTTCCAGAGAACGAGCTTTGTGCTTCAATAAACATCGTCTCTCCGACAGATGCTCTGTGTGTCTGGCGGCGAGGAGCGACCAAATAGGCCGGAATTGACTTCTTTGTCATGCCGATAGTTCTTATTTACTTCTTGTCGGGGAAGCACTGCTGCCTCCTCTTCCTTCGGGATGTTAGAGGTCGGTAAGGTGGATGGAGGTCGGCAGTTTGACCCTACGGTGGATGGAGGTCGGCAGTTTGACGCTATGGTGGATGGAGGTCGGCAGTTTGACCCTACGGTGGATGGAGGTCGGCAGTTTGACCTTACGGTGGATGGCGGTCGGCGGTTTGACCCTATGGTGGATGGAGGTCGGCGGTTTGACCCTATGGTGGATGGAGGTCGGCAGTTTGACCGGGCTGACAAGGTGACGTAGGGCTAGCAACTCACAGGAACTTTGCCGATTTCGCTATCGTATAGTTCGCAAAAAGTCAGTCAACGATGATAAGCATGTCATGCTCGTTGATTGGTTTAATACCCGAAGTTGCCAAGGTAATGTTACGACCTAATGGGTGGATCTAGATCGGCGATTTGTTCCCACGAACGGCCTTACAGTGTAATCGGGCCATAACGTTTGGAACTGAGCCCCAACTAGGAGGGCTGCCCTCGAGGTGCCCTATGAGGTGGAGGCGGTGTAGATGCAGCGTCCTGTCCAAAAAAAAAACTGCCCAACTTTTCATCATTCTGGCACAGCTGCTCGCGAGAAAAACACAGCCGATACGCTCATACCGTCACTCATATTTGCACCATTTCTTAGGAACAAGCGAATTATGTGTACAGTTAAATCACAATGATCAATGCATGGCATATAGGTTACGAATGGATTTCATGTTAGCAGTCGCGAATACACCATAACACTCAGCAGTATAGGTGCCCAACAGTTTCCGTATCGCTGCGCCGCGGCTCAGCCCCGCACGGCCGGCCCCGCGGCTCAGCCCCGCACGGCCGGGCAGCTGGCCGCAGCTCAGCACCGCACGGCCGGGCAGCTGGCCGCAGCTCAACCCCGCGGCTCAGCCACGCACGGCCGGCGCCGCAGCTCAGCCCCGCAGCGCAGCACCTCACGTCCGGGCAGCTCGCCGCAGCTCAGCCCCGCAGCTCAGCACCTCACGGCCGGGCAGCTGGCCGCAGCTCAGCACCTCACGGCCGGGCAGCTGGCTGCCACAGGGTCGCCGTGCCGCGCACTGTGAGAGCCGCCCGGGAGCACTGGAGCGCTAATGGCTGGGGGCTGAGCGCCGGAGCACGGCGGGGCGAACATAACTAGCAACAAGGGGCTGTCGAGGGGACGGGGCTGTCGGAGGGGACAGGGACTGACATAGGGGGACAGGGGCTGTCGGAGGGTAACAGGGCGGTTGTCGGAGGGGGACAGGGGCTATCAGAGGGTAGCAGGAACTGTCGGAGGGGACAGGGACTGTTGGAGGGTAACAGGGGCTGTTGGAGGGGACAGGGACTGACATAGGGGGACAGGGGGATGTCGTAAGGTAACAGGGCGGTTGGCGGAGGGTAACAGGGCGGTTGTCGGAGGGAGACAGGGGCTGTCGGAAGGGGACAGGGAGAGCCCGCTCGGCACTGGCTCCCCGGCAGCGGAGCTGTGCGCCGGCCGTGTCGCGGGGGGGGGGGAGACCCGGCGGGGGCCGGGGCGGACAGAGCCGCCGATACCGATCTTCATGTGGACACACGGACCGGTTCTCGGGCGGCCGCCACACAGAAAGTCGGCCGGCCTGCCTCCGTGCCGTCTGCGTGCCCGTACGGCGGTGACGCGGGGCCCCTACCCGGCCAGTCGGCCGGCCAGCGCGCAGGCTGGTCCACCGCCGACCTCTTAGGTATTACACTCACACACCATTAAATAGTACGCACCTAAACTGAACATGACTAGTGGCGAGTGGTCATCGAGTCCAACTGAGCTGTCGGCCGCGGCGACACAGCGCTTTAAACGCGTGCACAGGTGATCACTGTTAACGGATGCAGCAAGCATAGTCTGAGCAGAAGACAAACGGCCGCGTTCAGGGAGAAATTCAGCCATCTTTTTCTGGCGTACACGCTATACAAACACAGGACGTTACCAACATCCGTCTGCCTCCTGAACATTGCGCGGGGCCAGTCGAAATAACTAGCAATGTCTCTCGAGCAGGCAGTACAATGGGCGATCAGCCTTGGTGCTGGGTAATATACCTAGGTTTAACATGTTCCCTAATTCCTTCTCAATATTTGTGCGAGTTTTACATAAAGGCTGAATTGAACTTCGTATGCCTCGTATCAAAGAGCTAACCGATTAATATTTCCGCTAGGATGTCGTTTGCAACCATAGTTCTTTTCTTTTTAGACGAATTACCAGTACCTATTATAAATGCTGGCTGACTGGATGCATTTCAAGATGGTTGTAGAATCTTTAGGTATGCATACAATATGCATACTTGCCTATGTTCGGACCGTGAAATCAACTATCTAACGAGCACAAAAGCACGCCTACTTGATGTTCAGCTCAAATACCTGAGTCACAGATCTCGGCTCATGTTTCCACGGAAAGGAAATTCTCTACATTTTATAGCATAAAATATACGAATCTCCCTTACAGCTTGCTGACGTTTCGATGCGGCTAGACTGCTAGTTTGGGCCGCGCCGTCGACCGCTCGCCCCGCCGATTTCACGGCCAGCAGCTCCATCCACTGGTCGACGCGCTGCCCGCGACTCAGCGACTGGTGACCGGTGACCGCCGCGACTCAGCGACTCACTCCGCCGTCCGACACGACACGCACCCACGCACACAAACACTACACGAGGCCGCTCCGGCGTAAGTCTCGGCGGTGCTGAAGAATCAGTTTGTACTGTCTCCTTTTGGCACGCCACTGGCGGCAGCGGGCCGCCCTGCCCGGCTGTCTGCGGCGCACGCAGTCCAGCCGCGACACACTCGGCGCCCCGGCACTCCTGTCTCTGCCCGCGCTGCCGTAACGGACCGCACTGCTGTCTCTGGCGCCGCCGGCTCTGTCGGCACTGACGTCTGCGGCGGCCTCGCGCAGCGCCAGCGCCGTCACCGGCGCGGCCGTCGCTGCGGCTGCCGGCGGAGTGCTCGGCTCCGGCTGCGTCGTGGAGGTGCGCTTGACGCGCAGAGAGCGGCAGGTGCGCGCCTGCCAGGAGCCGCTGTCGTCCTGTCGACAGCGCTTGGCGAACTGGGCGAGCCGCTGGCGCTCCAGCCGCAGCGCCTCGTGCACCACCGGCAGCTTCGCCTCCATCAGCCTGAACAGGATGCCCTGCGGCGCCGAGCGGCCGCGCTGGTGGCGGCGCCGCGGCCGCCGCCGCAGGCTCTTCTTCGCGCCTGCGGGGGGCACCTGTGCGCGGCCGGCGCGCACGTGGCGCGCCGGCCGCCGGCGCCGCTGCTGCCGCTGCAGGCGCTGTTGGCGGCGCCGCTGGCGCTCCTTCCTCAGACGCTGTCGGCGCCGGCGGCGCTGTCGGTTCCGTCGTCGCTGCGCCCGCCGCTGGGCCCGCTGCTGGCGCGGCCGGCCGGTCGGCAGCGGCCGGCGGCTCTGCTCTCGCGCTGACCGCGAGCTGGGCTCGGTGGTCAGCTCGGCGGCCGACTCGGTGGCGGCCGGCGCCGGCTCCCGCTCCCGGGACTGGGCGCGGCGCCGGCCGGCCGTCCCGCGGCGCCGGTACCGCGGCGGCACTCGCACCGGTCTCATACGCGCCTCGCCATGCGCTGTGATGGCGAGGTGCAGCTGGCGGTCCTCCCGCCGCTCGTACAGGAAGATATAGGTGTGTTTTCGTCGGACGGCCTTCAGTCGAAACCGACAGCGGTTTAGCCGTAGATATCTCTGAAAAGTAATAAGAAACTTTTTCATAGGTATACGGGAAAGACAAGTACCTATTACGAAGTTATGCTCATCATTGAAATACGAGCAGGTAGGTATGGGACTCCCGTCATAAGGCCAAGATAAGCACGATCTGAAAGTTAATCAGTTCACCGTTAGGTAGTTTATACATACAAGTGTTCACAATCCAACTATATTGACGTCACCACTTCTCTACCTACCTAGAAACGTGGCAAAAGAAAGTTGACTAATTAATTGCCGACAAGCTAAATAACCGAAGGTTTGTTGTCAATAGTTAAAACACTATTCTTTAGAATTGTGTTTTTCTATTGAAAAACAAATCTGAGTTCCCTGACAATTTGGCAATATACTGATGTATTGGCGGTTCGGGTTTAGGGAACCTCCATTTGCGCAGCGCATGGAGTGCAGCGCATAGTTTTCGCACTCTGTGGGCTTAACTGTTGGCCCTTCACTGTTAACTGTTAACTGTCAGCTGCAGTCGTGTCTGAGGACGTTTCAGCGAAATAGCTTTGAAAGAGCTATCGAATACGCTTTACTGCGACTCTAGGCTTTTGGTTTACGAGTTATAACGCCGATTTATGAAAATTGCCAAAGTCGGACGAAAAATCGCGATAATTTTTCCTTACTTTTTTTTCTTAAAACTATCAAAATAGAACATAATTAATATTTACTTAAGGATTTAAGTGCTTTGCGTTTTTGTTATATTTAAGTATCTTATTTCATGTTTTCGAGCGTAACATTTTTCGCCATTTTTGCTATGATTTGCTCTATTGCTATTGCTAATGCTATTGCTATTGCTATTGATCCATGGATCATATCATGCACAGTGCACAATACCCGGGCTTATTTTAGCACCGCTGTTTTTTTTTTTTTGGACGGGGGTCAACCAGGCTGCCTTTAGACAATATGAAAAACTAATGCTACGGCCCTGACCGTTGCCGGCGACCTATACATGTAGGGGAGAGTGGGGCAAAGCGGCCACCCGGGGCAAAGCGGCCACCCATCGTTTTAGCCCTTCATAGCTGGCGTCAGTTCCAATTTATGGTTTCCAATTATACTTCTCTTCACGGTCGTTCGAATGAGCCAGACCGGGGTTTCAGGCCCATCACCATTGTTCTGTGAAACACGGAAAAGCATTTCTTGCCAGGTTACCAACTATGTTTACAATTTTTAAATGTTATGTTATTCCAT